GCGCACGCAGGCGCTCGGGTCCGGGCTACCTGGTGGGCGTGTGGGTCGGTGCACCCTCTGGCCTCCCGGATAGTTTGGCCGCGCCGGAACCGCACGATTTAGGCGGGGCCCGGGCACGCAGCGATGCATTCTCTCTTTCCTGAGCTCCCGCGCTGGCGTCCAAGCCCCCGAGTCTCACCCGGTCTTGGGCACGCTTCGCAGACCCGGGGTGCACGCTTCCGCGTGGAACACGGCGCGGTGCGGGGTGTGTGTATCATCAGAGGACGCGGCGTCGGGCCGGAACCGCAGGCCCAGCCTGGGTTAAAGAGGTGAAGGGGGGGGGGGGGGGGGGGGGGGGAGGGGGGGTTCCCGTCTCCTTCTGTTGGTTAGGACCCCCACTCCGCCTTCGCCAGTTTAACTGGCCTCCTCCCTGCGAACCGGTGGGGAGCCGCCCCGGCGAGACCTCCACAGCTCCGAGCGTGCATGTCTCGCTCTGGGTGCCCCCCACCTCACTGCTTGACCCTCTTCCCTCCCCCTTTGCACCCCCTGTACGATCGGCCGGGTGAGCCCATTGGAGACAGGCCGCGACCCGCGGAGCAGGGCACGCGCCCAGTCACTTTGGGCTGCTCCCCAGCGCTGGTCCCCGCTTTCCCATCTGCCTTGGCCCCGGGAGCACCTTGGGCCGGGATGCCGAGGGCCCGGGCTTCATGAGGGGCATCGTGGAGGGGCAGAGGAAGAACGAGGTGACGGAGCCAGGACTGGGGACATGCAGCATCTAGCAGGGACGTTTCTAGAAACAACTGCGTGTCCCCGGGATCGCTTTCCTCTCGGTCGTTAGCCACCTCGCCCTGGAGTGCCTCAGCCTCGCAGGTGGCGTTCTGGGGCCCAGCCCCGGCTCCTTTTCTCGCTCATTCCTTCGGTTTTGACCGAGTCCCCGAAGTTTCCTCGGAGTCTCCCGACCGCTTTCCCGTGGCGGAGCGGCGGGAGTGGAGGGAAGTTTCGGGAGCCCACGGCGGCTCCCCGGGGAAGCCGGGAGACGGCGGGCGGCCGGGGCGGGTGAGGGTGTGGGAGACGCTATTGTATCCGTTTTGATGGCCGTGTAGGGACCGCCAACAAAGGCTGCGCCCCCTCCCCCTCGGCCGCAGCAGCGTAGACTTGGGGGCGATTTCGCTCTCTTGTGTGCAAAACACAAGGCCCCCTTTGTTGGGCGCACACAGGTTAGGAAGGCGGTCAAGGAGCAAAAGTAGTCATCCTCCTGCAAAGGGTCCGGGGCCAGCGGAGCGCCGACCCCAGCGGGAAAGCGGCCTTCCCCGCCCTTCTCAGTTCACTGGGGCCTGACCGCGGGGCGTCGGCAAACTTTAGGGATGTGCCCCCCGGCTGTTTAACGCAGGTGTTGGGCAGAAGGTTAGTTAGTGCTGCTCCAAACACCCGGCTTTTAAAAAAACAGGGGTGGGGGCCGATCTAAACGGTGGGGGGGGGTGTAGGGGGCTATCAAAAGGCTGAGAGGTGCGGTGGGACTGGAAGCGCCACCCACGGCTCTTCGGGAGCCCGCCGCGGGATAAGCTTTTCTTTCCCACCAAAACATTGTTTTGCAAGTTCGTTTCTTTTCCGTGGAGCCGCTTGTAACCAATGATATTTTCCCCCCTGCCCTCGTTTATCAATTATCGCAGATCAAGGATCCATTTTGTTGGACAAAGACGGGAAGAGAAAACACACGAGACCCACGTTCTCGGGACAGCAGATCTTCGCCCTGGAGAAGACTTTCGAACAAACGAAATACTTGGCGGGGCCCGAGAGGGCTCGCTTGGCTTATTCTTTGGGGATGACGGAGAGTCAGGTCAAGGTGAGTGGACCTTGCAACTCCAGGGATAGGCTCTCCACCCACGTCGCGTCCCTCTCCCCCCTCACCCCACCCCATCTTACAAACCGGGCCTGAGGAGGCTGAGGAGAAGATGAGATCAGCTCTACGCAGGGGTGGGGGTGGAGGTTAAAGGCTCTCCTGGGCGGGCAAACTGTTGATGAACAAAAGGAATCAAGTCCCCCTCACCCCCGCCTTTGAAATGAGGTTAATCTAGATAGCAGCATGTGCTGGGGGAAACTCATCATTATTAGAGAATAAAAGCATTACTGAAATATCAGCCCTGAGAATAGATCAGACCAGTTAGATAGCTTCTGTTTAGTCTATTTGTAGAGATATTCAAGCTTTTGTTTGTTAATTAAGGCTCCACCAGTCATATAATTTCCTAATGTAGATCAGCATTATAGTGGTACTAGACATTAACTTGCAGTTTGAAAAATAAATCTACAGTGTTTAACCACTTAGCATGGATAAATCTGCTTTTAGTTTAGCTGAAGGCAATGACTTTGGCATAGTAATTTTCCAAATGAATTGAGAAGATTATTACTTTATTATGAAATTGAATTGTTTTAAATATGTTTATCAACAGATGCAAGACATTTTACTGTTTATGACAACAACTTATAATTTAAATGTCACTTAGCTTATAATTGAGTTGTATAGCATATTCCCAGGGATTCAAATTTTAGAAATCTTTCCTTGAAAAATAAAGGGAAGCTAGATAAATTAAATCTAGCAGTTTCCTGTATTTCCAGTAGTCTCTTTTGTTCCTCTTCTTCATTTACTATATTTGGGTTTTTTTTTTTGGGGGGGGGGTTGTCTATAAGTCTGTTTTCATTAGTCATATTGCTGTTCTTTAAGTAGGAATAGCTGTTAGCCATGCCTGTTGGTTAGAGTATATTTCCCCTTGGACAAGCATCATAAAATGAATTTCACAAGTGATTTTTGTGTGACCATTAGAATACCATCACAGTTAAAATTATTTTTGCGATGGTTGGTACAGAGCCTGCCACAGTAGTCTGGAGGTCTTCATTTGTCACTGTAAATATGTCTGCGTGGCTAGACGTGAATTATTACAGCTGTATACGGAAAATCAGAATCACTTTCATAACAATTCTGATTCTCTAGACAGAATACATAACGGATGGATGAGAAAATGGCTGAGAAGCATAAAGAGAGGATAATTCAATATGATTGGAAAATTGGTTGCTTATTGCTGGTGCTTTAAGTTAAAATATGTGTATCAAACATGGTGTCAAATGTGGTGAATAGGCTTGAATATTTTTATATAAAATGTGTGTATTGGGGAGGAACACTATTAAAATAATATTTGAAAGACTAGGCATGCTAACAGTGGGAAATAATGTAACTTGCAAAATTTCACTTACAAAAAAAAAAACTGATGAAAACTCTAAGCTTTTGGTTTTATGAAAAACATTAAACCAGACAGATACACACCACACTGTGATGATTTTGACTGAGGTCTTAAATATTTTCACGCATTCATGTTGGTTATTATTAGTGATTGGAGGTTTCTGTTTTAGCAGATTAACAAAACTTTATATGATTGCACGTGTAAATGGGGTTTTAAACTACCATGTCTGTGTATATTCTGACTTGTGACAAATGAAACAGACATCTATCCAAAAGTGCAAAGGCGAAAGGAAGTAATTGGGGGGATAAATGCTTTGCTTTCTCCCACAAATCACACTAAAAAGCAAGTACATTTAGGTTGTTTGGAATACCTTAATCTAATAAAGTATATAACGAATTAAAACCACAGTCATTATGGGGCAGCTTTAAAAGGGGAAAAGTTTTCCACTTTCAACTAGAAAGTGAAAAAGTGCACTCATTTTTAGGGACACTTAATTTAAGTTTCCAAGTTTTTTTTTTTTTCTCTTCTGAGAAATCACTCACTGACAACCTCAATACTCTTGTTCCTATCGCTATGGCAACGGGCAGGCAGTTTGTAGGTGCCCGTTCCTCAGAGGAGCCTGGGGCGATGGAGACTGACTTTGACAGCCCAGACAAGGGAGGTCTCTGAGGGAGGGCGGCCAGCCGTCGGGGGCCCGCAGGAGCGACTGCGGGAATGTGGGAGAGGTAGCAGAATCCGCTCCCGTTAAGTTCCTGCCACCTTTGTCTCTCTCCTCCTCCCCTGATCGGCCCGCAGGTCTGGTTCCAGAACCGCCGGACCAAGTGGAGGAAGAAGCACGCGGCGGAGATGGCCACGGCCAAGAAGAAGCAGGACTCGGAGACCGAGCGGCTCAAGGGGGCCTCGGAGAACGAGGAGGAGGACGACGACTACAACAAGCCCCTGGACCCCAACTCGGACGACGAGAAAATCACGCAGCTGCTGAAGAAGCACAAGTCGGGCAGCGGCGGCGGCCTCCTGCTGCACGCGTCCGAGGCCGAGATTTGCTATTTTCTGAGATGTACATATCTATTTTTTTAACCTAAAAGTTGAGGAAGATGGAGGAGAGAGACTCGGGGGTTGGTAAGAAGGCAGAAAAATGACGAGATACACTGCGCAAAGAACGCAACTGAAACTCCCCGCTGGGCCGTCCTCCGCGCCAGCTCCTACCCTCTCCCTGTATCCGAGGAGGGGGCGGCCCGGACCCCAGCGCACTCTGGCTTCCCGGCCTTTGCACCGCAGGGAAGGGCGGGGGGGGGGGCGCCCTCAGGGACCAGTTTTCGTGGGATCGACTGCTACTGCGCAGGGGACCTCGGAGCTGAGCGGGCGGGCGGACGCCAAGGATGGGAAGAGGGACGCGTCTCCCCCCCACAAACTGCTGTGCGGACTAAAGTAACCTGTTGAAGGCCCCTTGTAAATAAATCGTGAGTCACACTGACTAGAAGTTACTTTATTGTGAATATTTAAAATGTAAAATGGTTTTTTGAATTTGGTATAAGAGATGGACCTCCTTCTTCCTTCCACCCTCCCCCGCCTTTTAAGAGCTATTGAAACCGCCCGTTCCCCTTTAATTTTGAACTTAATTGGAGACCGTAGAAAAGAACGTTCTCAGCCCCCCTCTCCTCCAGCTACTCTGGGGGTTTGGGTTTGTAGGATCTCACTTCCCCCCTCGTCCCCACTCACTCTCCCCCCTCCACCACCCTGCGCGCGGGGCCGGCTCCAGCCTCCAGCCTCCAGGACTTGAAGTAGAAGAAGCGGAACCGCCTCTCTGTTCCTCTCTGAAATTGCACAGTCGTTTGTTGCTATTTATTAGTGATTTAAAGAAAGTATTCGGGAGGGAGGGGCTACATAGCTTGTATTTAATTTAACTCCTTTCGTATAAAAATGCGTGTTAAAATAGATGGTGGGCATTGTTACAACTGCTCTGGGTCAGAAACATAAAAATCCATTTAGTTGCTGTAATTGAATTTGAAGTGTTTTGTATGATAAGAATACTACAGACTATGTAAATTGTTTTCTTTTTTTAAGCTAATAACGGTGATATATTAGCATCTTTAACATTTATTAATTTATATAAGGAATTCGGTTTGTAAAGAGAAAAGACACCCCCCCTTGCAAGACCAGTTAAATGTAATGCACTTTCTGTTTCAAAGGATAAAATCAAATTAAAAAAAACAAACAGTTCGAAGACGTCTGTTGCCTTGAATGAAAGGGTACAGATCATCTGATCTTATCAGAGATCTCAAATAAAAGTCAAGACCACAAAAATTTTATATTGGTTACTTGGGTAAAATAGTTGCTACATCACCATCACCATCATCATCTGGAAGAGTGGCATTTCTCTTTCTCCTGGATTGGGAAGATGGAAAAAATGCAGATGCACTCATAGGGCTTCTTGGAGAGACTTGTCTAGCAGGCTGCTTCTGGTACTTGTGTTGTCTGATTTTTTCCTGATGGCTTTTTCTTTTGCAAGGAAGTCCCTGTGGAGTTTTGGGAAGACCTCATTTCCATAAATCCAAGATAGCGCCTCAGCCCTATCGCTAGCTCTCTTAGGCAGCTTAGAGGAGGCAGTGAAGCTTGATGGCCCAGCGGCAGGGCTGTTGGCTACTAACCTTATCCCCCTCCACTATAGCTTGCAGGAATGCAGAAGTCGGTGGAAAGACAGGAGCTCTGATTTTGCTAACCAGGATAATAAAGAAGGATGAATTTAAAGAAAGTTTCTTGTAACTGACGCGAAAGCTCTAGGGTTAAGGAAGCAATGCATAGCTTTTGCAGATGAATTTGAGGGGGGAAAAAAGGAAGGGGGGAAAAGGGATCCCAGGGAGAGGGCGGTATCACTGTCTTGGGATCTTTTTGTTTTCAAACGCTCAGTTATAAACTCAGTGAAATATAGTTATCTCCTTAGTGTTTCAGGTTAACAAGCTTGTGTTCAAAGACAGAAAAATCAATAGAATTCAGTAGAATCTTCAGGCTAGTGAGAGAGTATGGATCTGTTTTGTTCCCTTAAAAAAAATTGTGAAAACTGGGAATGAATTTGTCTGAAGGAAATTATTGTAGAATATATTCCTGATGGCATCGTCTAGTGGAATGAAAGGATGCAAATTTGCCCTAATTCTTTTCTCTAGTTTGCCCGTGAAATTCCCAATAAATGTCAAACTTCTGAATTTTTGCATTCTTAGCGAGTCTAAGATTTGTGTCCTATAGAGAGACAGCTATTTCAAAAGAGGATTTGTTGTGCTGGGATGATGTAATTTAAATTCTAGCTGTAAACAATAAGAACTAACTTTTTTTCCTCTCCTCTCCTTCCTTCCTTCCTTCCTTCCTTCCTTCCTTCCTTCCCCTCTCTCCTCCTCCCCCCTCCTTCTCTTTCCCACCTCTCTTTGAAGGATCCTAGGAAAGGGCAAGTTTATCAGCCTAAAACTTCACTTTATTTTTTTTGTCAATTTGCAAAAAAATGAAAGTCTCTTTTCTACTTTATTTTTTAAACCTTCATTCATCTCCATTCTGCCTTGAAAAACCAAGGAACTTTTTATGTATTTCTTCTTCCTAAGAAAGCAAAAATTCATGAGGTAACGAGAAATGCTGCTCCTGGAAAAATTTGAATGATTATTATTGTCATTAGTAGGAGTAGTAGTATATTGTAGTATCACTCATGGAAAACTTGGGACAGAGATTAAAGCTTTTTTCTCAAGTAAGTAGGGTTAGAGTATTTATTCCAAGTTAGGAGCAAAAACCCCTCTTCTAATTCCTGTAGGAAGCGTTCCCTCTAAGCTGCTCACCTTCCCATTTAGAGAGTATCTGAGGAGTGTAAAAGCTGGTGGCCTGGCCTCCACCCTACAGCAAATATGCGGAGGGCAGACAGGGTCTGCGTGGTTGCCAGCCCAAGCACTGAGGTGCTCTGAGTTCTGTGGGTGGCATCCAGAGTTGGGCTCTGGGACCATGCAGCACTGGCATTTGCTCCTTTTTTTCCAGTTGACTGCAGCAGTGACTTGAGGTTTCCAGTTAATTTATTTCCACCCAGGATTCCAGCTGGCCACCAGTTGCAGCTGGCCCCATAAAGCTGGGAGTGAGGGAGAAGTGGGTGGGGGTACCTTTCTTAGGTGTCCCTTTATCCTGGTTGGTTTGGTTTAGTTCTGCGTGTGTGTAAAAGGGATGTTTTTCAGCATCATTAGCATGGTGAGGAAGCTGAGGAAACACTCTATAGCTAAAGCACGGGAGAATAAGTCATTTTCACTTGGGGTCAAAATTTTCAAGGCATTAACCAGCCATAAGCATCTGATTAAGGCTTCCAGCCAGTCTTTACAGCTGCAGGAGTCATGATTTTGAAACAAAAAGTAACAGCAAATGACCTGGTGGATCACTGCTTTCATTTTTATTTTTTCCAGTTTTGAAATATAATTGACATCACATTTTATAAGTTTAAGATGTACAGTATACTGATTTGATACATGTATATATATTGTGAAATGATTACCACAATAAGTTTAATTAATATCCTTCATCTATCTCACAGTTATAATTCTTTCCTGGTGATGAGAACTCTGAAGCCCTCTCTTGGCAACTTTCAAATATATGCTACAGTATTGTTAACTGTAGTGAAATCCTATACATTTCATCCATAGGCATTTTGTGAATTTTGACCAACTTTACCCACTTTCCCAACCTCCACTCAAGCACTACTTTCAGAAATGCTTACAGACAGCAAAATGTCAACATGAAAAACAAAAGGGGAAAAACAAGATGTGTGGTGAAAGGAAGGGTAAAACTGCTTTTTCTAAGTTGTCATTATTTTGTTTCATGGTGTGTGTGTGTGTGTGTGTGTGTGTGTGTGTGTGTGTGTCTTTCCTAAAAGGAGAAGGCAATGAGACTGGGTGAGGGATATAGAGTGGAAGGAAGGACCCTGCATATGTCTCTCACGTGGGCTGGCAGCTTTCACAATTCACAGCCTCCTACTCAGTTATCTTCCCAGGCCTCACAGTCCACGCCCAGGTCTCCTAATTGGTGATTTACCTTTTCTTTGGTTCATATTCACAGGATCCTGTAACTGAATGCTCTACGTCTTCTTTCTCCAAAGCTGTAGTTTATTGAGCTGCTTTCCAAGCTTGTGAATACTTAAACCACTTTCCCTTTCCCTTTTTGGAGACAGTGGGAAGAGGAGCAACGGAAAATTGCTCATTCTGCTCTGGAAAGATGTGCATTTCCTCACTGCTCAGTGTGCAGGCAGTTAGGACTGGAGGCCAACTCTTTTTGGAAATAATGTACCAGGCAACAGAGTCCGATGGTGCATTTGAAACCTTTTGGGGCCTAATATCATGTGCATGAGAATGTTATTAGACCAGCACTGACTGGAGTAGATCCACGCTGTGCTGTCCTTTAAGCTGGCCATCATGGGGAGGGACACACACACACACACACACACACACACACACACACACGGTGAAATTCCACTTGGGGACTCCCAGCACTGAATAGTTTAAAGAGACAGTGACTCCTTTGTTAACCATTGACAATGGGATCATGTAATAACAACAGAGGTAAGCGATAGATTTCATGTATAAACTCTATTTTAGGCTAATTTGAATAGCTTTCCCTGCACTCAATTTCCTCCTTATTACTGCACACACTATACTCCAAAAAAGTTCTCCTCCTCTTCTCAGTATGACTCTTTTTAAAAGCCATT